TGTAGTGGTCCAAAGCGATGAAGTAAAAGCCAGATTCCACCTGGTCACAACGTCTGCCAAACATGTGCTCCCGACACTGACACTGACCCGATACAGGAGAGCAACTTGAAGGGAATAAAGCGAAATGATTTGGATTATGAAACGACTGGAGAAGTATAGTTCAGGACAAAATATTCAATGCTGACACACACACAGACAAACAGTCGAAATACAAATCCCGCACCCAGCTGTTTGCTGGACCGCAGTTAAAGCCTGCTATTGTATTGTCTCCCTGGATAGCACTGGCAGTTCAGGATTCAGAAACACTAGAAACTTTTTTTCATCGATTATTTCAGGCCTCCAGCCAATAGTTTCTCAACAGAATGCTATAAACTTAGGAAGAGGCCAGCAAAGTAGGAATAGAACTATTTTTTTTACAGGACAACATGAGTGTCGATTACCCAGATATAACTCCTTAAGACATTTAACATCTCTGATCAGATAAGAGGATAGTTCCCCATAAAAATGGAAATGATGCAATGATTTAAGCCTGGTTTATACTTCTGCGTCAAGTGACCGGCGTAACCCACGGTGCATGCAACGCGCGTAGCTGTGCATTTATACTTCTGCGCGCTGTCTCTGTTGGTCTGCATTAACACTTCCGAAACGCTAGTTGACAGTGACGTGTAAATGTTCCTCTGTGTCGAGTTTCTTCTCTGCTGTTTTGCTTTTCCTGAACAGCTTCTAGCAGTTGTGACACAACGGCTACTATAGTGAAGGTGTTATGCAAAAGTTTAAAGTATTCATTCATTGTCATCGGCTTAGTCCCTTTATTAATCCGGGGTCGCCACAGCGGAATGAACCGCCAACTTATCCAGCAAGTTTTTTACACAGCGGATGCCCTTCCAGCTCTGGGAAACATCCACACACACATTCACACACACACTTATACACTAAGGACAATTTAGCCTACCCAATTCACCTGTACCGCATGTCTTTGGACTGTGGGGGAAACCGGAGCACCCGGAGGAAACCCACACAAAGGCAGGGAGAACATAAAACTCCACACAGAAACGCCAACTGAGCCGAGGTTCGAACCAGCAACCTTCTTGCTGTGAGGCGACAGCGCTACCTAATGCGCCACTGCCTCGCCAGTTTAAAATATACTGAAGTAAAATAAATGTATTACATGAAAAACCTGAAATGTTTTATGCACAGACGGCAGCAAAAAAACATTCCCATTGACCATGATCAGCAAAAATGAATAAAAACCTGTGTTCTTCATACCATGCCAGCAGTTGTCAATGTCAGTTTGTAAAGTCAAATCCTCAGTTTTGTTATCCATAACAATAATCGGCCCAGGTAGCAAAGAATTCTGGCCCAGATTTGGCATAAAGCTGGTACTGCAGGCATTCGTGCCAGACTTGGTCCAATCATGTACTGTAATTCACTGCGCCATGTGGGCCAAGCTAAAGCTGATTGCATGGGCCAGATCTGGGCTGGAAAAATGTTGCTATGTGGGTGATAACTGTGTTTAACTGCGACTCAAAAAGGCAGAAATGGAGTAGATTTACTCACTTGTTGTTGATTGCACCACCATGATCACAGTCACATGGTCTGCAGCCGTCCATGTCATTACTGAGACCCCAGTGCTGGGGCTAAGAGAGAGAGAGAGAGACCACAGCGTTTTATGATAGACCTCACAAGAAGAAAAAACATAAACAGCTCTCAAATGCAGGATATCACGTTCTGGCAAAACACAACGCTAGAATTTTTAAAATAATTAACAAATAAATATGTAGAAATAATATTAACTTTAAAGCTTAATTGCAAAAAAAGTCATAAAATGTTATAAAAATAAGAAATATTACACAAACTAAAGTAACTAACCAGAAATCAGACCTCATGGAGTAATTTTGGGGTAACACTTTACAATAAGGTTCATTAGTTAATGCGTTCACTAACATGAACTAATCATGAACAACACATGTACAGCATTTATTCATCATAATTGAACATTTACTAATGCATTATTAACATCCAAGTCCATGCTTGTTAACATTAGTTAATGCACCATGAGTTAACACGAACTAACAAGGAACTACTGTATTTTCATTAACTAACATGAACAAATACTGTAGTAAATGTATTGTTCATTGTTTGTTCATGTTAGTAAATGCATTAATTAACATTAACTAATGAACCTTATTGTAAAGTGTGACCAGTTTTGGTATTTTTGAGATACTATTGCAGTTTTAATTGATGTTCTGACTTGAAGTTAATTATTAAATTGTCAATTTTTTCATTTTTAAACAGTTTTAGTTATGCTGTTGTGTTTTTGTCATCTTAATTCTGTTTATTAAATATGTATGGATAGTTTTATTTGGATCAGTTTTGCTTTAATTTGAGCTATTTTGATTCGAAGTCTAAAATAATGTGAAATAATGAAGACATCCTCTGCAAACTGGCTGAAATAATACAAATAAAATGAAAGGAATACATTTTATTTTTATGTTTTTAA